ATCAGATAAGCAAATTTTAAATGTTAGAAGATCAGTAAGTCTGGTGCTGCTAGATGAGGAATGAGAACGGAAAGTAATTTGGGGACAGAATGAACAGACTGTGAAAGATCTTGTGCACCTTTCTGTAGTCTTTGTTCTCTGAAATAGAGGAGACAGTGGAATTTTGAAACTAAAAGAGGATGTGATTCTGTTTCAGGTGGAAAAAATCTCAAGGCAGTTTGAGGTTTGGACTGAAGATGTGAGGGTCTGGAGAGAGAGAGACACTATTTAGATGGTTAGAGATGAACACTACAAATTAGCACAACGTCCATGGGATCCAGAGATTCAAAGAGTCTGTATTCATTGTATGCCAGTCCAACAAATGCCACAACAGAATCTTCCTAAGCATCTTTTTTTTTTTTTGTATCTAGGAATTAAAATAACATACTTCTTAATGCGCTTTAATAATTAAGATAAGTATATTGAATATTAATACTAGGCTTAGGACTTAAACATGCTCAGTATTTTGTGACTGTGATTGGCAGAATCAGGGCCTCCCAAACATATCCAGGTTCTAATTCCTCAAACCTGTGGATATGTTACTTTATATGGAAAAGGGGATGTTGCACATATAATTATGTTGAGGATCTTGACATGGAGCAATAACCCTGGATTCTCAGGGTGGGTTCAGTGTGATCAAAATGATGCTTATGAAGGAAAGAGCCAGGATCAGAGGAAATGTGAAAGGCAGAAATAGAAGGTCCGAGTCAGAGGGAGACTCAAAGATATCATGCTGTTGGCATTGAAGATAGAGGAAAGGGCCACAAGCCAAGTGGTATGTGCTGTCTCCAAAAACCTGAAAATTCAAGGAAACAAGTGCTGTTCTAGAGCTTCCGAAAGGAGAATACTAGGTTGTGGTAATTTGAATAGCAACAATAGAAAACTAAAGTAGTTTCTGTTCGATTTTCCAATGACTGTGATAAAGAATGCTGAAAGAATAAAATTAGAGATTTGATTGGTATTCAAATACAAAATGGAGTTTTGTAGAACCTTATTCTCAAGTCCTTGTTGGATATTTTGATAAAAGAGTTAATGCAAACAGGCTGGTGTAAGCAAAATTTAAGAAATATTGAAAGAAGATACTCATGAAAGAAATTGGGAATTACAGGGGGGTTTATTCATTTTCTTTTTTTAATGGAAAAGAAGAGGGATGCTAGACCTCACTTTATACTTTCTGACTCTCATCTCACTCTTCTCTCACCAGATATATTCTAGCACTATAGCACTTGGATAAAAGTACTCCTTGTTAATGAAATTGTTTTCAAAGGATATGTCTCCCACTCTTTGATGAGGCTGATCTCATGTGAACACTCAGGCAAACCATGGATTAAGTTCTTGGCATTTAATAGAAATTTCAGTCAAGCCCATTTGTAGGACCAAGTGGGTCAACTGAACACATCTCTTGCTACTGTGTCTAAAACAAGTTTTCTGCTTAAACACATACAGTAGGTTAGCATAAACTATCACGTGGTTGATTTAGGATGCATGAGCAATCAAACTAGCATATTAAAGGTAAAGAAAAAACTTTTATTTTTAGGGTTATAAATGGGTGTAATCTGTATGCAGGTCAGGAAATAATAGTTAAAACTGGACATGGAACAACAGACTGGTTCCAAATAGGGAAAAGAGTACATCAAGGCTGTATATTGTCACCCTGCTTATTTGACTTATATGAAGAGTACATCATGAGAAACGCTGGGCTGGATGAAGCACAAGGTTGAGTCAAGATTGCTGGGAGAAATATCAATAATCTCAGATATGCAGATGACACCACACTTATGGCAGAAAGCAAAGAAGAACTAAAGAGTCTCTTGATAAAGAGGAGAGTGAAAAAGTTGGCTTAAAGCTCAACATTCAGAAAACTAAGATCACGGTATCTGATCTCACCACTTCATGGCAAATAGATGGGGAAACAGTGGAAACAGTGACAGACTTTATTTGGTGGGGGAGGGGGTGGCTCCAAAATCACGGCAGATGGTGACTGCAGCCACAAAATTAAAAGATGCTTACTCCTTGGAAGAAAAATTATGACCAACCTAGACAGCATATTAAAAAGCAGAGACATGACTTTGCCAACAAAGGTCCATCTAGTCAAGGCTATGGTTTTTCCAGTAGTCATGTATGGATGTGGGAGTTGGACTATAAAGAGAGCTGAGTGCCGAAGAATTGATGCTTTTGAACTGTGGTGTTGGAGAAGACTCTTGAGAGCCCCTTGGACTGCAAGGAGATCTAACCAGTCCATCCTAAAGGAGAACAGTCCTGAATATTCTTTGGAAGGACTGATGCTGAAGCTGAAACTCCAATACTTTGCCACTTGATGCGAAGAACTGACTCACTTGAAAAGCCCCTGATGCTGGGAAAGATTGAAGGCAGGAGGAGAAGGGGATGACAGAGGATGAGATGGTTGGATGGCATCACCGACTCAATGGACGTGAGTTTGGGTAAACTTCGGTAGTCGGTGATGGACAGGGAAGGCTGGTGTGCTGCATTCCATGGGGTCGCAAAGAGTTGGACATGACTGAGCGACTGAACTGACTGATATGTCTGTGTGTGTGTGTGTGTATTTATATAGGTGGCTGTCTGTATCTGTGTATCTCTGGGTTCAATATTATCTGATTCAATTTAAGATTGAAAATATTTGAAAAAAATTCCAGAAAGTTTTAAAAAGCAAAATTTTAATTTGCTGTGTGTTATTAATAATAATTTACATAGCATTTACATTGTATTAATATTTGCAACTATCTATGTAACATTTACATTGTTTTATTTATATATAAGTAATCTAGAGGTGATTTTAAACATACAGAGGATGTATTAATATGTAGGTAATATGCAGGTTCTATGATATTTTATGCAAGGCATGTGAGCATCCGTAGATGCTCCTGGAACCAATCCCCCTTGGATACTAAAGGACAATTGTATATGTATGTGTATATAGATGTATGTACATGATCTTATGTGTATAGCATGTGTATATCTATATCTTTTTGATAATTAGTTTATTGTTTGGTCTCAGCCCACATTAAATTGGTCAATGGAATTGGAGTAATATGAGATGGTTGGCTTGAGTATTGTTTCACCAACTACATTAGGATGTCAGTTTGTCACAGCTCTGTCAGATAAGAGAGGTTTTTTTGATACATTTCCACATTTCTAATTACCCTTGATCTTGCCTGAGATAGAAGCTGAATTATACACAAGAGTTTTTGTGATTTTGGGGATCTCTCAGTTAGCTATAAGAAATGTCTGGGCAAATTTAAAACCTCTGATTAATTGGAGATTTCCGCCAGATTTTCAGATTGACTGAAAGAGGCTAGACTCCATTAAGGACCACGGAAGCAAACAGTTCAAACAGGTAACTCAGTCAACATAGAGTAAATCAGGAAGACAAATTGAACCGCATCTTTAGCTAGTCTCTTCTAGAAAATTACATATGACTTAGTCTACATCAAAGTAGGGGATTGAAGGAGAACTGGTTTAAGGGTTGTTGATCCACACAAACTCTTCCTTTAAAATGGACTGATAGTGGAGGGTTTTGTTCATCTGTTTGTTTCTTGCTTAGCAGTTTCACAGCACTTTGGATTTTCCAGTGTGCTTCTATAATCAAAACCTCATTTGTGCCTTACTGCTAATTTGAGAAAACAGTGAGGGCAGAGGACGTTTTCATTTAACAGTTTAGAAAATTAAAGCAGAAAAATGAAATGTTTTATCCGGTACCAGGTCATGAGTCAGTGAAGTACCTAGAATTAGAACACAAGTCTCTAGCTACTGGCTGGTGTTATGGACACAAGTGGATAATACATCTTATAATTGAAGACCTATTAACTGAAATGATTCCCAAGTTCATTTTGGACATGACCAATTGTATTTATATGGAAAAGAACTTTGATTTTCAGGCTTTTTAAACCACCTATTCATTCCCAATACACAGGACACAAAGAATACAGTATTTAAAGGCTTGTTCTATTTTTTCCTGTTTGTTAGTAGCAATGCATTCATGTCTCAGTCATTCTCCAAATTCAGCAACTATATTTGTTACTCTTTTTCATTGGAATTTAGAGACCAAAGAGTGTGTTTCAAAAAACCTGTTTACACAAATAATTTACGTTCATCTACAATATATAAGAAATACATAAGTATTATTCACTTATAAAAAGAATAAATTGCAGTTCTTACTAAGCTGTATCTGATCAGACAATTTCCTGTTTACTACTTTGACTATATTATGGAGTATTTGTGCAGCACCAGACTCATTCGTAGGGCAAATGAAGCAATAGTCAACTATTAATCCTTTATTCAGTAGGTCCTATCTTTGTGAAAGATATTTAGTTTATTTTTAAGGGAGATAAAAAGAAGCAGAAGAGTTAATTCTTGGATTTCAGAGACTTTCCAGTAATTTGCAGTGAAAAAATATCATAGTAGGAAAGATCTAGGTAACTTGACAGTGAAGGAATCACATCAATACTCAAATGGTAAGACAAACAAAAACAAACAAAAAAACCTATTTAATAAGCATTTACTAAAGTATGTGCTGGACACTTTCTATTAATTATCTCTTCCAATCTCAAACAAGGCCCAGTGAGAAAATCAATAATACTTTGTCTTCATTTTACAGATGAGGATATTGAAACTAAAAGATTAAATTAACCACTTAATATCCCCAGAATGGGAGGTCAGATTTTGAACCCAAGTTGGAAGAGGGCATCAGAGACATTGTATTCTCTGTCTTTCATCTATATGCTCAAAATATTTTCTCTTTTGCAATTCCAGAAAAGATCAGAACGGTTCATTTTGGTTGTTATCAGAAAGTTTCAACAACTATCCAGATTTATAGGCCAAATCCACTGATCAGATAAGCAATCAGTAAAATGATGGGGTGAGATGAATGAAATGGAAATTGAGCAATAAAATGCTTCTTATTGTAGGTGAATTGTGGTCCCTACAGTGTGATGTATACTTACGGGACTTCTTAGTGGTAACGTTGACTGGAGGGCTTGAGGGCCCTGTCCCAGCAGTGTTATAAGCTCTCACAGAAGCAAAGTAGACGGTGTTAGCTTTCAGGCCTGTGATGTTTTTGGTTGTGACATTTCCGCTGACCCTGATTTTGCCTATCATGGATTCTTTGGAATCATCTGTCCAGTATAAAACCTGCTCATTAAAAACAAAGAACAAGCAATTTATTGTTTCCTAATAACTGCCAACCACAATGGTGTATGGGAAGAAGTCAGGAGTGCAAATGAGAGGATATTTTCCAATTAAAATGGTTATACAATGACAACAAAATAATCAAAGTCCAAAATTTATATGGAAGAAATTTAAAAAAAAATGAAATCACAATGGAAATGAGAAAACCTAGGGTTTTTTTTTAGATTATCACAATAAAATATTTCATGAAATATCTAAAGGTAACAGCTTTACCTGCCCCCCCCCAAAAAAAAGTGAAAAGTGAAAGTGTTAGTCGCCCAGTCATGTCTGACTCTTTGCAACCTCATGGACTTTAGCCCTCCAGGCTCCTCTGTCCATGGTATTCTCCAGGCAAGAACACTGGAATGGGTAGCCATTCTCTTCTCCAGGGGATCTTCCCAACCCAGGGATCGAACCCAAGTCTTCAGCTTTGCAGGCAGATTCTTTACTGTCATCATTCTTTACTGAGCCATCAGAGCTGAAGCCTGAGGTATGCAGTAGTAAGTCAGAACTAAATAAGAGTCATACTTTCAGTGAAAGACTCACATTATGATGTTTTGCTATTGACATTTCTTCCAGAGTTCTTTGAATCACGGATGAATTATTAATTCAGCATATACTGATCCCTTCCTATACATTAGCACTGTTTTAAGCAAATTGGAAAAGACAAGAAAGAATAAAGCATAAGGCATGCCTTTGCACCACTTATAACCTAGTTAAGACGTTAGAGCATATATGTGAAAAGAAAGCAGAGGATGCATCTGCCGAAAATCATATGGAAATAAGTGCTATAAGAATTTGAAGACACATAAAACCAGAAAATAATCAGAGAAGAGTTCAAAGAGAAGGAGAGAGTAGAGATAATCTTTGAGAAATAAATAGGGTTCACTTAAGAGGTATGGTCTTCTAGGACTGGAGTGGCAGGGGCACCGACAGAAAGTAAAACTTTCTGTTTGGACAACAGGGCTCGTATAAAAGGAGAAAAAAAAATACAGGCAAAATCCTACTTTCATTCTAACATCAAAATAAAGTAAACCTTGTTACTCATTTTTGAATCATTAGATTTGCAAGTCAAAGAAGAGTAATTGATTAATAAGTCCCATCAATTAACTTTGTGAGAATGAAAGACTGTAAGTTTGAAATGATTTGTTTCACTCTATATAGACTATAATGGCAGATTAGGAGAATGTAAGCTTTATCTTGTCACATACTGCCTTTTCCGAGATGACTAACTTTTTTCAAGTAATGCTCCAGCTCAAGATTAGGTTTCCCCGTAAGATTCGTCTACGGTTTAACATCACTAAAGATCAAATGCTTACTTCTCTCCAAGAAACAAACATGACTGCAGCTTGGATAATTAAATGAGATAATCACCTGATGACTTTTAAAATGCTACCATTTGTTAATTTACTTGCTTAGGATCACCTGGAAAGATCCTCTTCATTAATCCCCCTCTGTAGCTTTAGACACGCACTATCTTATATTAAGGGCTTCCTGGGTTGGCTGTGGTAAAGAATCCACCTGCAATGCAAGAGACGCAGGAGACACAAGTTCTTTCCCTGGGTCAGGAAGATCTCTTGGAGGAATAAATAGCAACTCACTCCAGTATTCTTGCCTGGGAAATCCCATGGACAGATGAACCTGGTGGGCTACAGTCCATGCGGTCACACAGAGTCGGACACAACTGAGCACAGAATAGCGCAACTTATAGGACTAGGTTGGTAATATAGGGCTGTTGAACAGAGCTATTGCTAGCTGGCATATTCAGAGTGCAAAGTGAAATTACTGTGGATTACCTCATAGCCCAGAACTCTCCCAGTGTTTCTATTCCAGGCAATAGCATTCCATGAAACCTCCATTTCTGAAGCAGAAAAGCTTTGAACAGAAGTTCCCCTTGGGGCCAGTTGAGGTTCTGCCATCCAGAGAAAGACACAACCATCTTAAGCAGAGTGGTTCATAGAAAACAAATGCAAAATATACAGACGGTCTCAAGGAGGACCATTCCAGTATTGACTACAACTTACCATCTTCCCCAGAGTAGATAATAGATGCAGTACTCAGGGGTCCTTCTCCTTCCTTATTATATACACCCACTTTGACTTCAAAGGGAGAGAGAGGGATGATGTTTTCATTTCTGTAAATAAACCTTGATGTCTCTACAGATGGCACTCTTTCCCTGGTCCAGGTTGTTGAACCTACTGGCCGCAGCATGACGATGTATCCAAAGTCCTCTCCATTCTGTAGTTCTTCTGGAATTGACTTGGGCAGAAGTAATCAGTCACTGAGTATTTACAAAAATATTTTGTATAGCTATTATAATACTGATTGATTATTTGGCATATCCTTTACAGAGATAAGATGGGTATTTACACTTCTTAATGAAGTTATTAAAAAAATAAAATTTCTATTGGGAATGCCAATTAGAAAAATGAGCCCAATTAAAGGTACTCAGATAAATAAATGAAAATTTTAAATGGAAATGTAAAACAGGTTTTACATGCTTATATCGCCTTCCTTCCCTGCCACTACCTCTTGGCAACCACAAGTCTGATCTCTATGTCTGTGAGTCTGTTTCTGTTTTGTAGATACATGTATTTGTGCCATATTTTAGATTCCACATATAAGTGATATCATGATATTTGCATTTCCCCTTTTGAAATACTTCACTTAGTATGATAATCTCCAGTTGCATCATGTTGCTGCAATAGGCATTATTTTTTTCCTTTTATGGTTGAGTATTATTTCATTTTATATATATATATGTGTATATATATATATATACATAAACACATATACTCGCCACATCTTCTTTATCCATCAGAATCTCTGAATGCTTTAATTCCTCTGCATTATGGAATTTGAATATGATACATAGGTGTTTTGGGGCAATAATAAATACACTTAGAGCAAACAATAAGTAGAAAACATACAGTAGCAGGGACACTGAGGCAGTGGAAGCTAAGAGAAAATTGAAGCTGTAAATTATACAGAGAAGAGACAGAATTTAGCTGTTAGTCAAGTAGAAACCTGGATGTAAATTAAATGGGAAGAACTGAAGGATAAGCAGGAGGGACTGTTGGAGCTGGGGCTGGATTATCAGAGTAGCTGACAGCAGGATAGGGCTACTATTCTCAGAACAGTGATGGACAGTGTACCAGTTCTTCATTTAATCCGTCTGCCTAGCTACTGAGACTTTTTTCTATTCTCAGTATTTCTTAAGTACCCTTAAAATCAGTTCAGTTCAGTCACTCAGTCATGTCCAACTCTTTGTGACCCCATGGACTGCAGCACATCAGGCTTCCCTGTCCATCACCAGCTCCCAGAGCTTGCTTAAACTCATGTCTATCAAGTCGGTGATGCCATCCAACCATCTCATCCTCTGTCATCCCCTTCTTCTCCTGCCTTCAATCTTTCCCAGCATCATAGTCTTTTCCAATGAGTCAGTTCTTCACATCAGGTGGCCGGAGTATTGGAGCTTCAGCTTCAGAATCAGCTCCCTGCAATGAATATTCAGGGCTCATCAAGAGGCTCTTGCTTTCTGCCTTTAGAGTGGTATCATCTGCGTATCCGAGGTTGTTGATATTTCTCCCAGCAATATTTATTTGAGCTTGTGCTTCATCCAGCCCGGCATTTGGCATGATGTACTCTGCCTATATAAGTTAAATAAGCAGGGTGACAATATACAGCTCTGATGTACTCCTTTCCCACTTTGGAACCAATCTGTTGTTCCATGTCCAGTTCTAACTATTGCTTCTTGACCTGCATACAGATTTCTTAGGAGGCAGGTAAGGTGGTATGGTATTCCCATCTCCTGAAGAATTTTCCACAGTTTGTTGTGATTCATAGAGTCAAAGGCTTTGGTGTAGTCAATAAAGCAGAAGTAGATGATTTTCTGGAATTCTCTTGCTTTTTTAATGATCCAACGGATGTTGGCAATTTGATCTTTAAAATAAATCCCCATTAGTTGAGATGACCTGAGCTGGTCTCTATTTCTTACCATGTAGACCAATCCAACAAATACAGACAGTGAAAAGTGGAAGAAATACACAGTCCTGAAATCTTAGAAAAGAAAATGCTTCCTTGTGTTAACACTTCTCTTTCACAGAGATGATCAAAATTAAACCAGTTAACTTTGAGTGGTATGGAAGAGATTTATAAGCGTTTAAGACACTTGCTAGAGCATTTGATTTGTTTTGGATGCTTCTCTAATCTCAGATTTAATCAACATGCTTAGTTCATCTGAGAAATGGAGGACTTCTGCTTTTGTTAGTTAAGTACAATTAATGTTTCACATGGCATTCCCTCAAGAAAGATCTGCATCCAACATGTTCAATTTAGAAGGGAAAAGAGACTTCTTTAGGTTCTTCCTTTCATCCTTTTCATATTGGTTGATCCAATGATGGAGAAATATACAGTTATTTAAGGTGTCCAGAAAGCGAATTTTCTCCTTTAAACAAAGAAAGTATTCAACAGAATACAGAAATTCAGGCATTCCACTGGTAATGAAATCTATTAAAGCTGATATAGGCTCATAATATAATTTTTTCACCACTGTGTCTATAGGAAATAAATTTTTAGTATAGACCAACAGTCAACAAGCTATGGCCTTTGAACCAAACCTGACCTATGGCCTGGTTTTGAAAATAAAGTGTTTTGGAAACACAGTCACACCTGAGTATTTATAATGATATGTGGCTTTTGAATGGCGATGGCAGGGTTGAAGAGTTGTGAAAAAAGGCCATGCATTCTGTAAGACTGAACAGTTTCACTGACCTTCCAGAAAAAAGTGTACCAACTGCCAGTTTAGGTGTTTATCTTTTCCTGTACAGTGCTTTATAGTCACATTTTATGTGAGATATTTACCATAAGCATCTCAAACTTGGAAGCACTTTGGAGTATAAATGAAGATAAGATATGAAGATGTGAGTAAAAATACCTTAGAAAAGGAGTTAGCAATTATTCTAAGATTAGATATCATGTCTAGGTTAGTGTAAACAAAATAAACCAAAATAGAAATATACACAAAATACACTTAATTTTGGCATAGAAGAAAACATAGGTGTATTATACTACAGTGTAATTATAAACCACAGTGATGGAGTCAAACTGAATTTAGAACAGTGATTGGACCTGGATTAGTGGTAAAAGTTCAAGGGGTACTTCTTCATCCACAGTGAATGACATTGGCCTTCAGTGGTCTCTCTGTACTCCCAAGTTCTTTTTCAAAACATTGTTCAGATGTGCTATGATGGTGCCTTTACTGACCTCCTCTTAGACTGAGTTAAGACTGTCCTGTTGGGTTCTGAGCATTCAGACCTTTTCTTAAAAATTTATTTTTGTACCCTGACTGCTTGGGACAGTGCGATTACTCATTAATTACATGTTCATTGAATTAAAAACATTACTACATTCCTGGTGGTTCAAACTAATGTGTTCATCTCCTCCTAAGGAGACATATCTGATTCCTTAAAGAAGTTCAAGCACCAGAAGAATTTGGTTCAGTAACTGCATATGCGTGATGGTAAATGTGAATGATAAATGGGAATTTGCACCCATTTATAACAGTTTCTGTTAGTATCTGCATATTTGATATCCCAAGAAAAATATACAAAGGGATTGATTTTAATTGAATTTTTAAAAAATTTAGGTCAGAAAAAAAATTTTGTAGTGATAGATTCTCAAATATTGGGGAACCTAGGGTCTCTTGCAGCAACACAAAAGCAGCAATATAGAACACATAAAAGAATAGGACTGGTGGTGGTGAATGTGTTTAGGAAAGCAGGCAGGAGGCCAGATTTGACCTGTAGGTGAAGGTGTGTCGAACTCAGCTTAAGAAAAAGAACACTATAAATCATGGAAAGGTTTTTTGTTGTTGTTAACTTATATCATCTCTATTTAAAGATAGTATACATAGAGTTTCCCATTCTCCCCATGTATAGACTGAGTAAAAACAATGATTTTTACCTACCTTTAGTAATTTCTGACCATGGAGGAAAAAAATAGGTGAGGTCAGGCAAGTGATGAAATACTCAGATGACTTTCAAAGAATGTTGAAACCTATTATAACCTACTCACCATTCCATAAGAAACAATCCTTTTAGACCACTCGAGAGTTTGTGTTTTTGTGGGAAAATTGTTTGGTAGACAGGAATAATTTTAACTTAATACTCAAAGCAAATACAGAACTCCCACCTTCCCTGAACCCTGACTTTGCATAGGGACCTTTGGAATTCTAATTCAGAACAAAGTAAAAGAGAATGGAATGAAAGTCCTGTGGTCAGATGCTTCTCTGTCCATCAATCTCACATTTCTAAGTCTGTTTTCTAGATGTGGCATAATGACCACCTAACATTGTCATGGAGTAAATGACACGAAATGCCCAGCAAAGCGTCTAAAATCCTGTAAGTTCTCGACGAGTGAGTTACCTCTGTGTCAGGCCTCTTAGGAGCCCATCTCTCTCCCAGCAGCCACACCTGGCTCCTGGCTCCATCTGTCACAACTTTCAGAAAACATCTATGTGTCTCCATGTTCTCTCATATGAAGAGAGCTTAATAATACTACTCGTTCTGTAATGGAATTTTGTGAGGAATAAAATGAACCATGTAGAACCATATAGAATGTTTTATACTACTGCAAAATCATTTACAGATGCAATGTATTACTATTGTTCTACAATGGTATTTCTCAACCTCAGCACTCTTGACATCTAGGGGCAGGTATCTTCTTGTCATGGGTGGGGATGAGTACTATCCTGTGCATTGTAGGATGTTCACCAGCATTCTCACGTCAGATACACCCCTCCCCTCAGTTGTAAACAACCATACATGTCCTCAGATATTGTAAAATATCTCCTGAGGGATGAATCACCCCCTATCTCTCAATGAGAGCCCCTCTAATGTATCAAACATCACAACTAAAACACCCATGGCCCTCTTGTTCTTAGGTGTAATATTAAAAGGTCCAAAGAAGTAGATGTTATGGCTATGAAAATTATCATCACTGTGTCAAAAGCATGTACAAGGGGCAATGACATGGCAAAGCTCTTTTATCAATTATACCTGAGGCTCAAAGCTGATAATAAAGGTATGAAATGCCATGCATTCCAAAGAGTACAAACTACTTATATATAGGACTCCTTGGCACAACTGAGCCTATAAAAAGTGAAAGTGAAAGTCGCTCAGTCGTGTCCGGCTCTTTGCGACCCCATGGACTATACAGTCCGTGGAATTCTCCAGGCCAGAATACTGGAGTGAGTAGCCATTCCCTTATCCAGGGGATCTTCCAAACCCAAGGATCAAACCCAAGTCTCCTGCATTGCAGGAGGATTCTTTACCAGCTGAGCCACAAGGGAATGACCCAAGAGAAATGCACAAAGGGAGTGCCGATTTAAGGGAGAGACTAGTAGGGAGATATTTCTTTTGAGACAACTGTAGAAAAAGCTGTATATTCCCACCCCCCACCCAGGAGAAGTAAAAGGGATACTTCTTACCCCTTGCCTAACCAAGTGACAAAGCTTCAGAAAAAAAAAAAAGACTCATGGAATATGGGGGATTGGGGGGATTTGTCTGGAATTTGGGGATGTGGGTTCTTTTAACTGACAGATGCCTGAGAAACTTCCAAAGGGGAGAGAGACCTGGACAGTGTACTGTGGCAGAGTAAAGACAGGCCAGGTGGGGACTCATTGCACCTCCACAGAACATGGAACAAAGGTGTATGTTTGCTGAGGGCAGATATGAAACCCATGTAGGAAGCTGTCTGTGAGCACCATTAAAAGGGACTCTACCCATAAACAGTATCTAGAGAGAGACGACCTATAACTGAAAATCTGGCCATGGACCACCAGACTCCAGTAACTGAGGAGACCTTCCAACAGCCTGCACCAAGAGATGACAACTAGAAGTCCCCACTGGGGCACCTCCTGGATTTTCCCCACCACCACCACCAACAAAAAACAAGGCAGAACCAACAACTGCTCTCTGAAATGTCAATTAGAGTATACCAAAGTCAAATTTCAAATGACCATCAATCAGAACCATTTCGGTCCGTTACCTCCTCTCCCAATCCTAATTCACTATAACTCTGGAGGAACTAGCTTGGGAAAGGAGAATTTGAATAGCAGAATGAAGGAAAGGTGGAGAACTGACTATGCATTCTCTTTCACACTTATAGAATTCCTTGCCTAAGGCAGACCTGAGCATCTGGAAAATAGAAACTTTAGATTGGTTGAATGTCCAAATTTTATAATAATAAAACAGATTAAAAATTTTTTGGAGTACAAAAATCAGCCTACCTGTTAATACTTAATAATGATGATTACAAAAGCTATGCCATCTACCTAAGCTTTCATCTACATGCAGGGAAGAACAAATTGGAAGGATTTAAAGAGCAATGATAGGGAAAGAATTTTTTTTACCTGCATTCTACTGAGTCTAACTCATGAATATTTTAGAGGTAATAAATAAAATAATTTCTAGTTCATCAACTAGTAACAAAAATGCTACTGACCCACCATCAACAGACATTGGGCTATATTTCTTATTTGGGAAAGAATTTTGTTGAGTTAGTCACACTTTCTTACTTGGGGGAAAAATACAAAAAATTTCCAATACCTCCTCTAAATTATGCATCATCAGGAGTCTCTCATACCATGTATTTTTATATACTCAATAGTGATCAAATAAATCTTCTTTGTTTTTCAATATTCTTCTTGGCCAGCTAAATCTTTTTCCCTCAAAATAACTGAGTTGGATAGAAAATTACCTCCCAAGTAATGATGAGTTCAGACCGACTTCCTCCTCCTCCATTGATGTTTGTTGGTGCCACTGCAGGGACTAAAAACAACCAAGAGAAACGTAGGATGGCAATTATTAAAGTATTTTTTCATCGTGAAGAATTTTATTTTTGGATTTCACCTTAAAAAATCTCACACAGGCACATTATGAGAGAGTTTTGCATTTTTAATGAACATAAATTATGTTTACACATATCCAAATTTCTAAGAGAGAGGACACAGTTGTGTTTGATACATGAGCACCCTGGCTTCAAAATCGAGTAACATCATGTGTTTGACATTATTATGCATCATCTACTAATTGGCAAAATGATGTTCCATTCAGATGGTAACAGCAACACTGCTGATTTAGTGCCTAATTATACAGTTGTGCTGTAAACAAGTTACTGAGGCAGTCTATTAATTAATTTTTTTCCAATAAACAAACTAAAATTGTTTTCTTTTTGTTAGTCATCAGGATATTTTAATGTTTAAAAATGAATCCTTAAAATATATCAATTAAAATACTCTTGGTTTATAATTTCATATTTGAATCTCAAATTTCTCACTACAGAACAGGACCTTTCCTCTAATTTTTCACAATCAATGTAAGAAGAAATTCTCTGATCAAGGATGTGATTAAGAGAATTACCTGGGTTTAACTTCAGTACCCTAAGACTCAGTGGTAGAACATTCCAGAGACTGATCATGTTTACAAATTAGGACAATATATGTCCTTCAACTAATTATACTTTTGTAAGGACTAGTATAATGAAATGTAAACATTTCAAGGTAAATTGTAGAATTGATGACAACTGTGGGCATGAATCGGAGAAGGCAATGACAACCCACTCCAGTGTTCTGGCCTGGAGAATCCCAGGGACGGTGGAGCCTGGTGGGCTGCCATCTATGGGGTCGCACAGAGTTGGACACGACTGAAGCGACCTAGCAGCAGCAGCAGCAGTGAGCATGAGTGGAGTAGTGTAGTGTGTAATCAGAATGAAGTTTTACTTTATACATGTTGAAGTGTTAAAAAGCACTTTTCCTGAAATAATAACAACTGTATGCTAAATCTGTGATAATGGATACTTTTTAAAGGTTGAATTATATGCAATTATTTATATTCAATCATTTTTTTATTTTTATTTTTTTCCTTTTTTTAATTTTATTTTTTTTTCCATTTATTTTTATTAGTTGGAGGCTAATTACTTTACAGTATTGTACTGGTTTTTGCCATACATTGACATGAATCAGCCATGGATTTACATGTGTTCCCCATCCCGATCCCTCCTCCCACTTCCCTCCCCATCCCATCCCTCTGGGTCTTCCCAGTGCACCAGCCCCGAGCACTTGTCTCATGCATCCAGCTTGGGCTGGTGATCAATCATTTTAATTTGAAATATGCAATGTTTAATTGCTCATTTAAAATTTTTTTCCTACCATGGATACCATTCAGATAAATCTGAACTACTTATTTTACTTATTCCCATTTCATACATAGTTAACTCCACAAATGATATAAGGATATAATAATCTCCTTGTTTTTTTTAATAGTAACACCAAACATTACCTAACTTTCATAATCACATTAACCCTAACTTTGCCTATTTTGATCTTCAGAATTTATTCAAACTATTGCCTTGTACCCATACTCTATTTTCTAAGTCTTCCAATGCCTTTGGCCAAGTGCAGTGTGAATCAGAATAGATTCTATAGTTGCAAGGATTTTTAGTACATGATAGCTTTACAGTGACATACTTTAGGACAATCAAATAGTTCAGATGTATAAGAAAATTCTTTTAAATTATGCTTTAACTCTTTCAAAGTTTTCAGTATTCTGGGTAATAGCAGTTCTTTCTTTTATTCAGTTTTCAAATGAACCATACTAATACTAAAACCATATTGAGAGGAATTATTTTTGATGATACCATCCCTCAAAAAAAAAAAATCACACTTCAGTATGATTTGAAGATGCAGAAAAATCATTATAAATACCAAGTTTCATTATGCTACTGAAATGAGAGTATCAGTGGTTAACAGAAAGTGACATTAAAAACTTCATTGTAAACCTTTAGAGTCAGCATCAACACTGCTCAGAGCTACCATAATACAAATCAGCTTTAAATAATCTAAACTGAAGCTAGTATCCAGAGTCATGAGGCACATGTGCAGATTCATAAAAGGTTGTTCTGTGATAGGGCTTGGGAATTTCTAGGTTTAGACATTTCACTATGTCAGACCCTTTCTCATTTAGGTTATGGACTACTGTTATGGTGAGTGCTGGAGCTTAAGTGTAGATGTCTGGTTTCTAATACTGACTTAGTCCAAGATCATCAGCTATACCCTGGCCTTCCTTTTGTTGTATTAAAGACTCACCTCTTAGCTCTAAATTTTCTAGAATGATTTAATTTATGATATCACTATCAAATATATTATTTTCCAGGCCCAGTCTATAATAAAATGACTAACATTACCTTTAGTTTAAAAAATGATTTATTGACATCTGACAGTTGTGCACACTTTTTTTTGAAGTAGTTGGTGTGTGTTAAACCAAGCCAGCAGCAGCATGATCCTTCATAGGTGACTGGATAAGAATATTAACTTTTTTGGCTACATTCATTGAGATGATCAAATGTTACCTTGGATGTGAAAGTTTAAGTGGAACAAAAAGGATCCATTGAAAAGAGTTTAAGAAGGTATGATTTCTGAGGCAGGTTCTACTTGTATTCTGCTGTTCAGCGAACCACTTGATGCTCAGTTAGGACTTCTGTTAAATGAGTGTAACATTCACCTCATTTGCATGTGGAAAAATTTATGGTATCACTCATTGAAGCTGCAAAGCTAGGTCAGAGTTGAAAAATAGATGGAAATGTGTGGCTGACTGCACCAACAGGCTTAGTTAATTCTTGGCTACAATATTTAATGAAACAAGTGGTAACCTATTTACATTTACAAATCTACAGATTCTCTATTGGATTTTGGCTAGAAAATAGATAAGAGGACAACTTTTGAAAAATTCTTATTTTTGGTATGCCTTCTTAATCATCTTGTTTTGAATTCGCTTTTTGGGAGAAAATACACATTGCTCTGTGCACATAAAAATGGAAAATAAGAGCCGCTGGTTTACTGCTTCTGATTGTGGATCAAAAATGCTACATGACTTCTCACTTATTATCTTTAGGAACTATATCATAAACAATCTTCTTCATCTTTAGAAGACATTGAAATCTTACCTGATGCTTTTGTTCTTAACAATTCTGATGGCTTGCTTGGTTCTCCAATCCCAATGCTGTTCCCAGCAACTACACGAAATTCATATTCAACCCAAGGATTCAAACCAACCACTGTTGCATTGAATGTCTTACCATTGAGAATTTCTGGAACTGAAAAGAAGGTTATGCTTTAGGTAACTAAATTGGCACTAATTAAAAAAAATCAACTATTTAATTAAAACAAAACAAAATATCTGTTTTAGAAAGTCATCCAAAATCATGCATCACTTACCTGTAGAAACAGCCTGCCAACCCACAGAAAATGGTGTCCGAGCCTGAACACTAAATATTTGGATGGGGCTGTTATTATCTGAGCCTGCTCTCCAGCTTAGTTGACAAGTAGCACTGGAAATATGTTTCACTCTTACATCCTCTGGGGGCCCTGGGGGACCTTGAAAAATATGTTTTATGATGACTATATTAGAAATTATTAAATTTGTGGATTTGGGACAAGGATATTTGATCTGTCATGCTTAGAAAATAAAATATTGAACATAATGTATTTTAGCACATTACTTGTGATAAAAACCCTATTAATTCAGCTTACATGGTGAGAGATTGATTTAGAAATGCTTCCTTTGAAGATTAGAAAATGCCAGTCATGGGATGGTTGAATATCATCTGATAGAGAGCTGATCTCAAAAACTGAGAATCATTTTTACCCATTCCTCTCTCGAAAGCTAACTCAAATAAATGCAACTGATATGGAGAACTTCAAAAACAAGAGTGGTTTATTATGAATAGAAAGCATATCTAAGTTTTAGGGACCAATACTGCTAGCTAAGTCTGATCATTCCTTATAAAGAAACAAAACCTACTCAATTTAATGTTCATATCTATAGTCACACCCTGGGGTCTTGGAGTTTAGGAAAAAAATTGTACTATTTATTTTACTGCTTTATCATAATGTGGTTAACTCAAAGATCTACCATGCACATATTAATGTCTCTGATTGTGAATAAACAGTGCTCTCATCTGTTTTCACCATGTATGCTCACCTCTCACAACGATATCACCATCAGCAGATAAACTTTCAAGAGATGTTTTTACTGTGCATAGATATTTTCCTGAATGATTTAACTGAATATTCCTTATCATCAAATCCCCAACAGATTCCTGTAGATAGAAAGGGAAAAAGGGATAAAAACATAATGACACCCAGCAGGTCTCATTTTTTTTATTTTAAAGCTGGATAAATATGAAATAAGAGGCCCTTCAGAAATTAGGAGATATACCAGTATCATTATAGTTTTTCATACTTGATCCCTTTTATTACCTCCTTTACTATAATTGTATCTAGGACACAAGCATTTCTATGAAAGACATAAAATAAAACAAAAACACATGCAGCTTTGTAAGCAGTGAGTGATTATCCATGCAAATAAAGATGGGGACAATAATTATGAACAGTGTTGATTCATGTAAAAGGCTTGATTCACTTTATTAAGCACTTAAAAATTTCAGCAACTTACTCCTCCAATCCTCTCAAAATGAGCCACTCCTTTTTTAAAGTCTATGACATCTCCATTGAAAGACCATACAAATGCAACCTCAATGGAGGGGTCATGGGACACCTGGCAGGGTAGGACTATACTCTCGCCAACTGTAACATCCATTTTGGAAGGTGGAACGGTAATAACAGTCCGCTCTGTTGAGAAAAAAATTATTGTTTTAAAAGCTTATAAAATGCTAGCATATGGCTATAGAATACATATTTTGAATGGTTGTGCTGCTGTTTGAAATTATATAAGTACAACATGAAGCTCTACTATACTCAATGAGAAAAATTATGTTCCCACTTTTCAAATATTTCTACATTATCCAATATAGCCTATTACTTGTAAGAAAATTCAAGACATATTCTCATTTATACTTAATATTAAAAAAAGTGGAAACCTGGGACCTCAAAAGATGACATTCACTACCTAGAGAGTGCACCACACCATTTTTATTATTATTTTATTCTGAAATTCCAGGCAAAACCTTGTAACCCACAAAATGGTTACAACTCTAATTATTTGGTTAATTTCATATACTAGAAACAAATTGTGTTCCTTAGTTCGTAATTACAATAGTTCATATTATATTAAGATTTATAATCATAAGCTTGCCAATGTGAATCCTACATATTTATTCTATTTCTGACATAGTTGTGATAAAAAGAATTTTATTTTAGATAAAAGTGCAATGTGAATAGGAAAGAGGTAACTTTTTTATTTTTCATCCAGATTTTTTAATTTTAGAGTACACGTCTATCATAAAAATTTTTCTTCTAGAAATATGCATCACAATATCAATCCTTGCTCTACAAGTTCTATCATGTCACTGACCCGTTTCAAAGAACAATTTGAAAGGACACAAACAGATTTCCAGCTGGACTCAGGAATCCTATATTTCTGTGGTTAAAATAGACTCGTAGTGATATCATTTTTTACACATTTTATACCAAACTACGTAGTTTTGATTTTAGAGCACTAAGAATTTACCAAGATGGCAACTCAATAACTATAAAGAAAAAAAAAAAACTTGGACACACATTTGCATGTAGATATGCACTATTTTACCAAAGTAAAATATATTCTAAGGGATTAATATTTAATAATTAGGAATTTTGGCAAATTATATTTTAAAAATATTGTACATGAAGTTTCAAAACAGTTTTAAAGCAAAGTGAAAATTAGGACCCTGGAAAATCTCTTTCTCTAAAGATCACTCATAAGATAAAATTTAACCTTGTAGGAGGTAGGCTAAAATCCTTCCTTTCCTTCTGGCTTCTCTGTATTTCTCAAGAAATCAAAGTAGCACTGAAGTTGAATGTATATGTTCATACGATGAGTTTGTCACTGTATTTTATCAATAGAATGCTTAAGTACTGTTCTAATATTTTAAAAGTTGTAAAAAAAAATAAAAGTTGTGGTTGTTATCTTAATAATAAAAAAAAGTAGGAAGAAATAATCATAGGCTTTAAGGTACACATAAATAAAAGAATTATGGAAAAATAAAAACACATATTTCTGAATATGATGGAAGAAAATCTAAACCAATCTACATCAGATGCATCTTTCTATTTTTATATTTTAAAGATACTCTTTCCCTTATTATGTTAGATGCATGCACTTTTTATTCTAATTATTTCTGGGGAAACATTTCTAGAATGATTTTTAGGGCTAAATCCATTCTTAATCCCAAGCCTTCTTCACGGGTCTCCCACAAAGAAAAGATAAACAATATCACGGTTTCAATAATACTTTTTAAAACTAGGGAATATTTTCCTTCTTATAATATCTTTAAAAAATATTTCACTAACATCTTATTTACAATCATAGGAAGATGAGGTGGATAATTCAATGTGCTGGTGGAATAAAACTGCTCTGATTTAAAGTTTTAGATCATGCAATTAAAAATAATTTTCAAACATTAAAATGAAAGACCCTCTCTTTCTAATAATGGCACTACAAAGTGATAAAATTAGACAAATCATTCCCTATATACATAACTCACCAGAAGTATAGTAATGATTACTAAAACTTCATGAATAAGAAATAATTTATTACAATGTTCACATGTTTTCACTAATTAATTCACTTATTAAGTAATATTTATTGAGCAACCACCAAATTCCAGCTGTCTGCTAAGTAAAGGAAATACAATGAAACATTAAAAAAAATCTAAGATCATGGCATCTGTTCTCATCACTTGGTGGCAAATAGATGGGGAAACAATGGAAACAGTGACAAACTATTTTCTTGGGCACCAAAATCGCTGCGGATGGTGACCAGGGCCATGAAATTAAAGACACTTACTCCTTGGAAGAAAAGTTATGACAAGCCTAGATAGCATAATAAAAAACAGAGAAATTACTTTGCCAACAATGATCCATAGAGTCAAATACTCTTTTCCAGTAGTCATGTCTGTATGTGAGAGTTGGACCATAGAAAAGGCTGAGCACTGAAGAATTGCTGCTTTTGAGCTGTGATTTTGGAGAAGACTCTTGAGAGTCCCTTGGTCTGCAAGAAGATCAAACCAGTCAATCCTAAAGAAAATCAGTCCTGAATATTCATTGGAAGGACTGATGCTGAAGCTGAAGCTCCAATACTTTGGCCACCTGATGTGAAGACAATGACTCATTAGAAAAGACCCTGATGCTGGGAAAAATCAAAGGCAGGAGAAGGGGACTACAGAGGATAAGATTGTTGGATGGCATCACCAACTAAATGGACATGAGTTTGAGCAAGCTCCAGGAGATGGTGAAGGACAGGGAAGCCTGGTGTGCTACAGTCCATGGGGTTGCAAAGAGCTGGGCATGACTGAGTGACTGATCAACAATGAAAGGAGAAGGAATAAAAGCACCAAATAAAAACGATGCAATGCATGCCTTCACAGAGGTTTATATCTAAAGCAACAAGCTGATATTAAACAAATCATACTCAGAAATGCATAGCTATAACTATGATGAAAAGTGAGAATGTTAGTTACTCAGAGTTGAGTCCAACTCCTTGTGACCCTATGGACCATATATAGTCTACCAGGCTCCTCTCTCCATGGGATTCTCCAGGCAAGAATACTGGTGTGGGTAACCATTCCCTTTTTGAGGGGACTTTCCTAACCCAGGGATTGAACTGGGGTCTCTTGCATTGCACAGATTCTTTACTATCTGAACCACCAGGAAAGCCCTGTAACTGTGATAAGTGCCATATATTAGAAGTAAATAATTCTATTAAAATAGTGAATGCTGAAGGATCATTTTATTAATAGAGTTGTTTTAGTTGACAGTAAAAGGTAAATGGATTTCCAGGTAGTGCAGTGGGAAAAAATCTGCCTCCCAATGCAGGAGGCTCAAGGTTCAATCTTAGTGTGAGAAAGATCTCCTAAAGTAGGAAATGGCAACACACTGCAGTATTCTTGGGATAACAAAGGATTGGACATGACTGAGCACACACACACAAAAGGCAAATAAGAGTTAGCTAAGTAAACATAATTGACAGGAAGAAGTAACTTTATTCACTATGCAGGCAGGAACATTTACACAAAATCTGTGTAAAGAAGAAATATAGCTTATAAATACAAGGCAGTCATTTTGCTAGAAAGCAGAGTTGGAGAGTGAACAAGGAGTGAAATTGGAAATTACGAGACTCAAAATGTAAGCTTTAGATGTTCTTAGGGACAGCTACATAATATGTGGAATTTTTTTTTTTGGAAAAATAGGGGAAAAGCACTCTGCTAAATATGGAGAACTTTGCTTTAAAAATAATGTATGTATTACCTATAAAATGTAACAGAGTAACAGTGATACATGAGCAACAACATAAGCATACAAATTGCAAAAAACATATTTCTGGTTCAATTTTATATGATTCATTAAATAATAATACTCTATTAATAAAGTTAAACCCTGATTGATCATGAGAGTTTTCTCACTTGTCTGTAAATCTATTTATTAGGTCATCAGAATTCACATTTTTAGTAATTTTATTTTCAAGTGATTGACATCAATTGCTCATGGCAAATATAAAATAACAAATGCTTTCTGAAATTTTTCTTTTAAAATTTGCAGTCATGTTTCTGTTGATGCACTTGTTATAGAACTCTTGAGAGTATTTTATAGGTGTGACAATATTGGAATAAACTTCCGATGAATTATTTTTAAATGTTGAATCTTAGAATATCTAAAGATAATGATTCTCAAAGAAATCTAAAAAGATTTAACTCTTCATACAAATCCATTCTGCTTAAGTCTGGATTTAATTTTAGATGTTAATCTAATCAGTGAAACTTATATTCTTTGGACACATCCTGTAACCTGTGAAGATTTCACAAGAAACTAAAAGTGGCTTAGTGGTTTGTGTAGAATCCAAAATGTTTAGGCATTCTACTGCTGTATTTTCAGTTATGAAGAAACACTCATTAATAATTGGTTTACCTGAAGCTTCGTATAAAAGTAGTATTTTTCCCATTGGGTAAATTAATATTTAAATCTGAATATCTATTTCTAAGCCTCTGGATATTAGCTTTCTAGTGTTGCACACATTTTCAAAATCATGTATGCTGAACTTTGAAAAATTCCTGTATCTATGATATGCTTCATTGCATTGTCCATATGTAGGCTTTTGTTTCATAGTACTTTACTGACAATATTTACTGGCTTGGCCCTGACGGATCCTGTCCTGGCGCTTGGGCTGAAGAGTTAACATTTGTACAAATGACCTTTGACATCCTGTGAGGGCAGATGGGTAGCTGACCTCGCCGTGAATCTTGACATTGATCACTTTCTGATTCCCCTCCTCCCCATCATCCTCTGATTTTGCACAGCTGCTGCCATTATCACCTTTATCACCTTGGTCCAGGTCCTGATGTGCCACCCTCCTCTGGGCCTCAGCTCTCAGGGCTCAGTCCCATGAGGCACACGGGGGTGCATGATGCCACCTGTTGAGCATGAACGTTGCCTGCATGGTGCACAGACCTGAGACCGTTTGTGCACAAGCAGCTTCTGCTGAGCCAGAAACACTTGTTTGTGCTTCTACCCAGCATACCTCCCCTGCTCATGTGCATGCTCCATTGTCACTGTAGAGTTTTCACTTACAGAGTGCAAATTCAGAAACAAAGTGATCAAGGACTTCAAGATAGCTACAGTAGAGCATTAGATCAAAC